CATCTTTCCTGGCGACGCATATGTTATGTGGAGGAATGATAAGATCACCTAATAAAGGGGTGGCCAAGGTTGAGAAACACTGATTGAGTACTGCATATGACAAATACTGTATGACCAGGCCTTCCCTCCCCTCTCTGAAAGCATTTTCATTTTGGTCACTCTTTATTTATTCATTTAGCCTCATTTTTATACTACCCACTCAGTCAACTCTGGGTATATTAGTTAAATAAAGCCTCCATATTCAGATACTTTCTATCTCTAAATACTAATGCCCGCTGGGGAAGTGTACTGTTATTTAAAGTGGTGCTGATTTAGTTGGACATAAGTGATGATAAGCTGAATGCATGGCAGGGATAACATCTAACCTCTCCCATGTTTGCTATCCACATTTTCAAAATTTCCCCAAACCTCAACATTGTATTCTACTGCCTTTTCCATTCTTTTTCAACCCTTTAAAAGAGAAATCACAGTTTTTCTCTGTCATACTGCCATGTTCAATTCTCAAGTAAGAAAAAGAAAAAACTGCATGTGATTATTGTTTTATAGGTTACGGGGCTTTGAGTCCATAAAGGAAGGAAAAAAGTTTGGCACATACGAAACTTACATATGGAAATAAGAACTCAGATTAATTTGCTAATATATTGTGGGTTAAGACACTGAAGGCTAAATGTGTCACAGATTGAAAATTTTGGCAGCATTTCTAGTCACCTACTGTTGAATATGGAGTAAATCAGCAGTGGGGAAATAGAAAGGAATGTGCATATAATGACCAGAGAATCATAGCTCTTGCTATAACATGTTCGGTTCACACTTCTGAGGACCACAATAACCTTCCTTATTCCACATGAAACTAATTTTGTACTCAACTAGCATCATTCTGGAGCATTTTAATTAGGAAAAAAAAACCTTTCTTGTCACATATTATCTTTTATCTGGGAATGAGGAGAAGGAATCTGGGATTCTAGCTTTTTGCAAGATACCTTCTGCTAGTAATCAGTAGTGAGTTCCCCAAATGGATGGCTGATTTTTGCATTATATTTTCTTTTAGTTCAAGATCTGTTTTGTAACCTCCTTACATGGTTTAACTTTCACTTAACAGTTTGCAACCTTTCTGGGTAGAGTAATGCCAATGGAGATGTACATCATTGCTGTGGAAGATAATTGAATGCATAATGCGTAGTAACGTAAGCTATTAAATGCTGATTATGATTGGTAGGATTAGTGAATACTGTTTTCATAAAGGCTTGTGGGGGCATATATAATAGTTTTATACTCAAAACCAACGTGCAAGGAAGGTTCTGCTAAAACAATCTTTGGCAAGCATGGTTGAGAATTGTAGTTAAGTCTGGAAATGTTTCTGAAATTGATTTTTTGAAAAAAAAACTTTGTAAGCAAATGTTACTGGGACAAATCCTTTCTGTTGAATAACACAGCAGAAAATAAAAGACAAGTTCTTGTCTATTGTGCAGGAATTAATGTTGTAGTGATAAAATACAGTTAAAATGACTAACAATGGATTGTTATTCACAACTGCTAATAAGCTATGCTTAAGTTAATTTTTTTTAAAATATGTTGTCTATTTCCAGGATTTCTTTGGTGTCAGTATGATTGTTCCCTTGTTAAACCTTCATGTGAAATCTTTAGGAGCGAGTTCAACAATCGCAGGCGTGGTAGGTGAGCATGTCATCTTTCCTTGTCAACAACTGGAAGCAAGTCATTTTTCAGTACAAGACCCTTGATGGAATAGTAAGTTTATTGTTGTAACTGTTACTGTTATTTTATTCTATTTTGTAGCATAATATATGTTATGATCTGTGGTTTCAACAATAAATTTACTTACTTACCCTTGATGGAGATTTTTCTTAATAAGAAAAGACCTTGGAGTATAACAGATAACAGGGTGTATAATTCAGCAAAGTTGCCTATGTGTTTCAGAAAATAAAATCAAAGCTTCCTCTTATGATTGAGACAGTTTATCAAGCGCTACCGTATGTTTGAAGGTAATATACCATTATTATAACTAGGTTTTCAGGGAAGACAGACAACTGACTTTGTTGGGGAGGCACGTAGAAACTAAATCGTTTGAAAGTTTGATATCCATTGATAGTCATTGTAGGACAGAATGGTTTTTCCCAGTTTTAGTGGCTACCTTAGTTGTTATCTTTCTTCAGCAGAGACAGTACAACCCCAGAGTCTCATATAAATAAAAAGGGTTCATAGAAGTTCATAAATTGCAGGCTTCCACAATAGTAGACCCATCTCAGTCTGGAGCAGCTGTTTAGCCTCTTTTCTGCCATTAAAATATAAACACGGTAATGAATATTGGTGCATATTCTGATTTTTCTCAGTGAATTTTATATTCCACTTCTTTCTTTTTCTGTTTACATGAAGTTATTAAATCATTTGTCCCCAAAGATTTAGTTTTAAGGAATGTATCCGGCCAAAGAATATTACCAGTAATGTCAAGAATAACTTGCTTTCTTCCTGCTGAAAATCTACAGCAGAATGATGATCATTTATATTTTTTATTTCACTATTTTCCTTTTAGGTTCTTTATATGGAATACTCCAACTCTTTTCCAGCACCTTAGTGGTAAGTTTATATTCTTAATTCATAAATAACTGCTGATCTTTTTTTAAAGGTTTGGGATAGCATGATGCAGTAAACAGAATGTTGTGTTTAAAATACATTCTTGTTTTAAATTGTCACTGTAGTAAACTGGGTTTGTCTCTCAAATGAATCTGTCAAGAGTATTTGTATAACTTTATTTTACTTTAAATATATGTTATAGCTTTGAAAGCACTGACAAAAAATACGACACCTAAAAACCAGGTGAACCCAAACTAACTTCCTGTACTGCCATGGCTGTTGTTGCACAAATTATCCCCGGATGTGTTTGAACCTACCTTGCTTTCTTAAATAATTTGCTGTGGATCCTGGGACTCCCGAATAGGACGCTATCTGTTATGTAGTGATTCTGCTGGCAATGTTGCAGGTGGTAGCACTTGGCCAAGCTTGTATAACCTTAAATACCAAGTAACAATTGAGCCTGCTTAGTACTTGGAAAAGAGACCAATAGAGACTACCAGAGCTAGAGGCCTGGAAGATATAAAATATCTTTTATAAAGATATTTAACTTTGGAAGTTATAAAAATAAAATGCCAAACTACTTCCATGCTGTTGTCAAGAAAACTGTAGGGATCTATTCATGAAATCACAAGGAGTTGAGTCAATTCAAGGAAACTTTATTTTAAGTTAAGTAATACTACATAATTCCTGCAAATAGGGACTATCCCATTAATTCTTTTGCCACAGCCTTTCTGTAAGCTAATACTTTGCTTTAAAAAAATGCACATTTCCTTCACTCCAGTACAAACATCTGCATAAGCAAAAGTAGTTTATCTGTACAGCACAATCTAACCTATTATAACCACAACCATATTTAGCTGCTTCTGTATCTTTAAATGCTACTATCAAGCTTTCTATGTCATTTGCTGCAATGTTTTCTTCTGTTCATGTATATATTCTTTTATACAGGTAGGTCTCAATTAGTGTGGTTAATGAATCCCACAGAATGGTCGTATTATTCAAATTCGCAGTATTCAAAGTGATACTTCTATGGGAAATAGCGTAATCGGTTCCTGCCCGACAGAAATATGCAATTAAAATTTTTAAACATAAAGTTTTATATGTTTATTAATGAAATAGTGTATAACAGTAAAAGAGGATAAACCTATATCCAAAGCTTACTGCTATCTCCTGTATTCTGCTGTAGTTCTTCAAAATGAGCTCTTCTTTTTTTTTTTTTAACTTTCCTTCCTTTTCTCCATTCTGCACAAACAACGATTAGCATACAAAACCCCAACAGCAGCTGCACACGCGATAGCCTCAACTGCATGCGTGCTACCCTCACACTAACTGAATTTTGGCTCGTGTTCAATGCAGCCTGGTATCAATTTATAAACCACACTAAATCAAATGTTGCTCTATTCAAACTCACAGTAATTGTGGCTTACCTGTAATTTACATTGGTAAGCAACAAGTAATTTGATCTGTGGAGCCAGTGTGGTATAATGGCTAAGGTGTTAGACTAGGAATGGACTGACCCACGTACAGATTCAACTTCTGGCATGAAAACTCATTCAGTGATTTTGAACCAGTCATTTCTTTCACCTCACCTACCTCACAAAGGTGATGTTTGGGGAGTAAAATGAAGAGAAATCCACAATTTCCAAGGAAGAGAAGAGAAAAATCTACCTTGAACTCTTTGAAGAAAAGCAGGATATAAATGTAACAAATAAATATAATATTAACAAACCTGTTAGAAAAAGTAATCTACAAATGATAGCTGTTACATATTTAAATGTAAATTATTGCCATTGCATATAAGAAAAGATATACTAGTTGGATCCAGAATTAGACAAGACGCAGGGGAATTTAAATTAATTGTGATAAGCTTGTTTTATTGATTTCACTGAATCTTCTATCCATATCTAAGTTTGAATGCAATCTATACATGATTAATAAATAGTTACGTTGATCTCAAAACATTTATGTTGTCTTATCCAGGGATCTTGGAGTGATCTAGTTGGAAGACCCCATTGCCTACTTGTATGCATTCTCTTCAGTGCATTAGGTTATTTTGTGCTTAGTATATCCACCAGTGTGTTTTTATTTGCCATTGCTCGAACTTTTGTGGGTAAGTTTATACTTTTCTGTTCATATCCAAGTATATTTCATTAATCGATAAAGGGTCTCATAGATCAGATTGTCATTTTAGCAAACACTAAAATGTGTCAGATCATTGTGGAGAAAATCTAACCTGATTTTTGAGGTCTTCTAACAGTGTACCCATCACCAGGGTAGTTACCAGTAAGTGCTGCAAATGATACAGTACAGGTAGTCCTTGCTCTCTGACCACAATAAGGACCGGAATTTAGGTCGCTAAGCAATTTGGCCGTTAAGCGAATTGGAGCTGATTTTACATTTTATGACAGTCATTAAGCAAATTATGCGGTCGTTAAGCTAATCCAGCTTCCCCAATGGACTTCTTTTTTTTTTTTTTTACAGAATTCACTTAATGACCACATGTTTCACTTAACAACCATGTGACTCAATGGCTGCAGTGATTTGCTTAATGGCCATTGTAAAAATGTCACAAATCACAATCACATGACTGCGGGGGTCCTAAAGCACTTTTCCCAAGTCTGTGTAACTCTAGACCGTCATTAAACATGGTCGTTAGGCGAGGACTGCCTGTACTTGAACAGGGCTTAAAGGAAGCCCTTTTTTAAACAACCTACAGGTGAAACTCAAAAAATTAGAATATTGTGCAAATGTTCATTTATGTCAGTATGGCAACTCAAAAGGTGAAACCAATATATGAGATAGACGCATTACATATTGTGAATTTGGGGTTTTCATAAGCTGTACGCCATAATCATCACAATTATACCAAAGTAAGGCTTGACATATCTCGCTTTGCATGTAATGCGTCTATCTCATATATTGGTTTCACCTTTTGAGTTGCCATACTGACATAAATGAACATTTGCACGATATATTGTGAATTTGGGGTTTTCATAAGCTGTACGCCATAATCATCACAATTATACCAAAGTAAGGCTTGACATATCTCGCTTTGCATGTAATGCGTCTATCTCATATATTGGTTTCACCTTTTGAGTTGCCATACTGACATAAATGAACATTTGCACGATATATTGTGAATTTGGGGTTTTCATAAGCTGTACGCCATAATCATCACAATTATACCAAAGTAAGGCTTGACATATCTCGCTTTGCATGTAATGCGTCTATCTCATATATTGGTTTCACCTTTTGAGTTGCCATACTGACATAAATGAACATTTGCACGATATATTGTGAATTTGGGGTTTTCATAAGCTGTACGCCATAATCATCACAATTATACCAAAGTAAGGCTTGACATATCTCGCTTTGCATGTAATGCGTCTATCTCATATATTGGTTTCACCTTTTGAGTTGCCATACTGACATAAATGAACATTTGCACGATATATTGTGAATTTGGGGTTTTCATAAGCTGTACGCCATAATCATCACAATTATACCAAAGTAAGGCTTGACATATCTCGCTTTGCATGTAATGCGTCTATCTCATATATTGGTTTCACCTTTTGAGTTGCCATACTGACATAAATGAACATTTGCACGATATTCTAATTTTTCAAGTTTCACCTGTATAGTTAAACAATAGATTTTGTTAATACAAGCTGTGCTGATGGTCTATCACTGATGGCTTTAAAAGGGAATTAGACAAATTCATGGAGAATAAAACCATATTTAAATATTTCTTATTAAGGATTTTAACAATACTAAGAGGTAATCGAACTAATATCAAAAAGAAAAAGAAATACAAAGTGCAAAAAGAAAAAGAAAAAAAATAGAGAAAGAAAAAAAGAAATAGAAAAAAGAATATGTAAGTGACTTCCGATCTTCTTTGCAACAAGTACAAGCAAATTTAAAATTTCTCCACCCCCTATAAAATTATCAACATAATCCACTTCCTCCCATAATCCCCCCCCCCCAT